AAAAGGCCTATGATAGAGTCGAATGGCCCTTCTTACTTACGGTTATAGGAAAAATGGGGTTTAATCCAACTTGGGTACAGTGGATCAAAGAATGCTTGCGCTCCTCCTCTTTTTCGGTCCTAATGAATGGGACACCAGCTAGTTACTTTCGCTCGACTCGGGGACTTCGGCAGGGAGATCCGTTGTCTCCGCTTCTTTTTGTCATTTGTACTGAGGGCTTTGCAACACTCTTACGTAAGGCCATTGAGGAGCGGAAGTTAGCCGGACTTCGGGTTAGTCCCAGAGTCCCATGTGTTTCGCATTTGTTCTTTGCTGGTGATTCATATATGTTTCTCAGAGGGTCGATGCAAGAATGTGAGAATTTTCTGGTGGTCTTGAATGAATATGAGGAACTTAGTGGGCAGCGGGTGAACCTGGCTAAATCGGCGGTATGTTTTAGCAAGAATATACTGCTGGTTGATCAAGAATCCCTTGCTCTTCGGCTGGGGGGCAGGGGCGGTTGGTGTCCATGATAAATATTTGGGGTTACCCACCTTGATTCTTAATCAAAGATGGCTACTTTCCGATATTTGGAGGAGAAGTTATTAGAATGGTTACAGGGGTGGAAACAGAAGGTGCTCTCATGGGCAGCAAAGGAGACATTGATTAAGTCAATCGGTTCTCATTGTCGTTACATGTTATGTCCTGCTTTAAACTCCCTCTCTCTCTGTCGTATTTTGGATAAGCATGTTGCTAGATTTTGGTGGGGGTTGAAGTGGGTCGCCTTCGAGTTAGATGGATTTCTTGGCAGAATCTGTGTACTAGTAAACATGATGGGGGGATGGGGTTTCAGCATTCTGAACATTTCAATCAAGCTCTCTTGGCTAAGATTGGATGGTGTATTCTTAGCGAGCCTGACTCTCTCCTGGCCCAGATCTATAAGGGGAAGTATTTCCTAACTGGTACATTCCTAAAAGCAACCGCTAGATCTCGTCCATCGTGGGGTTGGCAGAGTATTCTCCATGGCCGCACTCTGCTGCAAAGAGGACTTCGGTGGAAGATTGGGGATGAGGTCCTAGCCTCTATCCAACATTCCAGTTGGGTACCAGCTACTCATCCGCACCCCCCTTCCCTCGGTGTAATCCTCATGTAATTCTAGAGGGTAATGAACCAAATGTTGTAGAGCTTATTGATCCTGTGAGGAGAGGATGGTGTGGCCAATAACTTCACCAATTGTTCTCGTCTGATGTGATCCGTGGCATCTTGGCGATCTCCTTGCCTAATAGGGGTGTGGAGGATAGGTTGGTATGACATGATACGAGTGATGGTGTGTTCACTGTCAAATCTGCTTATCACCTTGCAGTTTTGGTTGATAGGCAGATTGGGGAGTGGCATCCCATGGTGAGCTGGATGGATAGGGCGAGCTGGATGAAAATTTGGGAACTCAAGATCCCACCTAAGTTAAAATTGTTCCTATGGAAAATCTTTCACCATATCTTACCTACGACGGAGGCGTTAATTGGGAAACGGGTCCATATTTTGCCTCGATGTCCGGTGTGTTGGGCGGAGTCTTAAACGATGGAGCACCTTTTTTTGGAGTGTTCAGTCGCTGCAACTCTCTGGACTCAGTCGGGATTGGAGCATTTGGGCTATGGTTTATTGAGATAGACTTTTGCTTTCTTCCTAAAAAAATGCTTGCTTAGGATGACATAGTCGACCCAGATTATGGCCCTGGGGGGCTTTTGTGCTGTATTTGAAAGTCAAGAAACTTGGCTGCCTTTGAGGGGAAATAGTTCTTTATTCCTCAATTACTACGGCAATATCACCAACATATTCATGAATGGGTGTCCTTACCAGAGGATAGGATGGGTTTGGATCGGGTAACTCGACAGCAAAATATGGGGAAGGGGATTTACCGAATGTCATCTGTATGTGGGACGGTGCGGTAAGTGCTGGCTCACATTCAGCGGGAGAGCTGATCTTAAAAGACGGTGTTGGAAATGTGCTATTGGCTAATGGAGTGTTTCTTCAAAACATTGTGGACCCTCTAGTGGTGGATACACTTATTGATTAGTTTACGGCATCACCAGAATCAAATAAGTCAAGTTAATGGGCAATCTTTGACGTAAGGAGACGGGCTCAAGTAGTGAATGAACCGCGAAGCTATTCTGTGGCTAGGAAGCCCTGTCTTTGTCTCCGGCTTCGTGTCGATTATATGATTTTCGTGCCTGGGTTGGGTCCAGGATGTAACTTGTGATCTTTTATTAATCAATATGATTATCTTTTGTAAAAAATGGATGGTAGGTCTTAATTTTGTCTTATTAAAATAGACAAAAAGGCCAAGATAGATTGCTAAATAGGTAAGAGCTGCTTCCGACAAGTTTGCGAATTTAGGTGGCTTATTTTGTAAATCTATGGAAGCTCAATGACCATTAATGAAAATTTTTCTCAGTGTATAGATTCGAACATGAATTTTTTCGGAAGGCACGACATAAAAACGATCTTTTTTTTTTGTTGGTAAATGGATGCAACACATCTCAGATTTCATTCACAACGAAATGGGGGCACAGATATTGCCTTGACAGTCATACATAAGTAAATTACAAAGGACAGGATCCGAAACCTCAATACTATGAAAACCAAAAGTAATGAATGACCCCTATTAGTGAGGGCGTCAGCACACTGGTTTCCGTCACGATAAATATGGGAAACAAACACTTCCCCAATTCCCGGGCAAGCAAATCCTGGAAACGGTCGATCAAAGCAGCATGATGATGATCAGGTCTATCCTTGCTCCGTAGGAGCTGGACCGCACAACTGGAATCGAGCTCCACCCGGAATTGACGATGACTCATGTCCCAAGCCAACTGAAGACCTTCCACAGCGCCTCTCAACTCTTCTCGGGTAACAGAACAAATACCCAAGTTTATGGTGAAAGCTGCAGAGCAGCTTCCTGTATGATCTCTAATTAGGCCACCAACTGCAGCATGACCTGATTCCTGAAGGACGGAGCCGTCTGAATTGAGAGTAACTCACTCTGGAGGTGGCGGCTTCCATGAGATCTCCACCTCCGTTCTAGCGGACATATTAGGCGAATGAACGAGCCTATCTTTGTCCATGGCAATCTGCACGACATTTATTCATACCTGGACGCGCTGTAAGAAAGCTTCAGTTGTAACGACTTTGTTTTGAAACAATCTGCTGTTTCTAGTCCTCCATAGGGACCAGCAGATTATGCCAAAATCTAGGCAAGTGTGCTCTCTGTTGAGGTTTCGTTGAATCCACTCCTGTGTATTGCTGTCAAAAAAGTCCCGATGATCAGAAAGCTGAGGGTGTTGCAACCAAGTTAACCTGGAAAAGGGACAATCCCGCAACACATGCAAGACTGATTCCGCCTGATTCTCGTAGAAGGAACAATAGGGTGCTCCCGTCAAATGCCTTCGGTTCCGCTCTTGGTTCGTCAAAAGTCTTTGTCATATTGCCAGCCACATGAAATGATTGACTCTTGCAGGGCCCCACCATTGTCAAATAGACCGTCAGTCGATGTCAGCATCTTTGTCCACCTCCCCTTTTGCGATCTCGTAGGCCGACCGGACGCGGAAATGGCCATCATTCTCCGGGCCCCACGTCATTTTGTCCTCTCCTGAACCTGCTCTCGGGGGCTGGATTCCCAAAACCTGCAAGACAACATCCTCAGGAAGACAATAACGAAGTTTTGGGATATTCCACTCACCAGAGTTAGTTCCAAACTCGGCCACCGCAACCGTCGGATTGATCTCAGGCCCATTGTCGCGAGCCAAATCGAGGAGCGGCTCTCCATTATCCATCCAGTTGTCAGTCCATAACGAGGTGCTGCATCCATCTTTAATACTCATCTTCATTCCCGATAACATAATTGGCCAGTCCTTCATTATTCCTCGCCAAACATTGGACTTTCTCGGCGACGATTTGGCCACTAGAGCTCCGTTGACTTTCTTAAGTACTTAGCCTGGAGTACTCTCACCCATAGCTCCTCCGGCTTCTTTGTGAAGTGCCACGCCAGCTTAGCCAAGAAAGCAAGGTTTAGCTCGTGCGCACTCCTAAGCCCCAGTCCTCCTTCTGATTTTGGCCTACATACGCTGCTCGGTGCACAAGATGAATTTTCCTTTAAATAAAAACGATATATTTAATGCCTAAGTATTTAAATTTTTTGCCCTAAACTCTCTCACGGACGATTTTGCCCCAACTTGACAAGCCCAACTAACTAGCCCAACCCTCGATCTCCCCCCCCCCCCCAGCACTCACCTGTCCCTTCCCCTCTCTATAGCACACACAACGCTACCGCCGAGTTCAAATTAGCGGCGCCTCCGCCAAGAAGCTGTCGTCTACGACCATGCCGCTCGTCGTCATCCCACCCTGAAGGAGGAAGAAGGTCCCTAACAAATGTAAGTTCTTTGATTTTTTTTATTTGTTTAACAACGACAACGCGGGTTAAAAACTCATCGCCGGCGGGGTAGAGACGTGTCTCCGGCATGTTTCTACCCTGCGATGGCGGGTTTTCAACCCGCGTCGTCGACGTGAGGAGCAGGTGATGGCCACGCGTGTGGTGGGACAAAGCGGGGCAGGCAACTCGTGTGGTCCGCGCGGAGTGACGTCCTTTCCGTTTCCTTTGGGGAATTAGTTTAGACTTTAGAGATCTTGTTAGTTATTTTATCAGCTCTTCGGCGGAATTATTTTATTAGCTTTTGGAGAATTAGTTTGGGGGAATTGAGTGATGAGTGATGAGTGATTGTTATAGTAATTCGGCGGATGCTCGGCGGTGGCGGTGGCGGTGGCTGCTGGGTTTTAACCGTTAAATTAATTTGAGGATATTTAAGTAATTTCAAAATTTTTAGGGCGAGGAACAAGCAGCCAACTAACCCAAACCTCTGGTGAGTTTACAGAGAAACGAAGCCTTTCAAATCATTCCCGCCGTCCACCAGCGCCGCCGCCTATTTCGCTCGTCTGTCACCGCCGGTCATTAAAACTAAGCGGCGGAGGAGATGCCTTCCATGGCGCAAAACGGCCGCGTAACAACCGACTTCAAGCAGTCGAATCAAGCTCACAACTCCAATGCCTTCGCCAGGTGAAGAAATTTACTCTGCAGTTCTTCTTTTCCTTACTGAAAACATGAAATTTGACCTAACAATGTTATCTTGCGATATGCAGAAGGGAGGAGATTAGGCAACAGAGAGAATCTCTTCCTATTGCCTCCGGTAATCCAAACCTCACTTAGCTTTGGTAGCCTTTTCCTCCCTTCTTTCCCTTCATTCCTCTTAGGTTTCATGTTTTTTCTACTGGTTCCTGCTCCTTTGTTCTCCAGTGAAGGAAAGACTGATCGAAGAGGTGAAGAAACATGATGTATTGATCATTGTTGGTGAGACTGGGAGCGGGAAAACAACTCGTAAGTGCCTCTATTTCGCTTTTTGCTTGTTTCTGCTTTTTTTCTCAGGCTGTCTGTTTGTTAACTGGGAAATGGTGGTTTGTGTTCTATGCAGAAATACCTCAATTTCTATTTAGTGCTGGCTTCTGTCGTGAAGGAAAGAGTGTTGGGATCACACAACCTAGGCGTGTGGCTGCTGTCACTGTTGCTAAGAGAGTGGCTGAAGAATGTGGGGTTGAATTGGGGCAAAAGGTTGGGTACTCGATTCGGTTTGATGATAGAACTTCTGGGGTAACTAGGATTAAGTACATGACTGATGGACTGCTGTTGAGGTAATGTAATGGGGAACTTTGGCCTGTTATTTTCAGCTGCTGGCTAGAACAATTGGTTTGTCTGGAATGTTTCGAACTTGTAGAAGTTGTTTGAAGTGGAGATTATCCTTCTGGTGAATGTATTGCTGAGTATTTCTATTTTATTTTGTGGGATTATGTGAGGAAAGGTCTTTGTGACAACCTTTGGCTTTTAGCTGTTGCGAACTTGTTTATTGCCTTTTTATTTGATGTGGTGCTTAGGGTCCATCCTATGTGATTCTAACTAAGCAGACCAAATAATTAAGGAATATGGAACTGAGGGAATTCTTGATATACTTGCAGGGAGGCATTACTCGACCCATATCTGTCAAGGTACTCGGTCGTCATTGTTGATGAAGCACATGAGAGAACTGTTCACACTGATGTCCTGTTGGGCTTGCTGAAAAATGTACAAAAAGCTCGGTTGAAATCTGGCACTCTAGATATGATTGCTAGTAAGAAGAATGGTACTAATGGAACATTGCCAGGAAAAGAAGGTATCAGCCAATCAGCCAATGTTCTCAAGCAATCCCAAGACAGGAAATTCCCTCCCTTGAAGCTAATCATTATGTCTGCGAGTTTGGATGCACGAGTTTTTTCTGAGTACTTTGGTGGTGCCAGAGCTGTTCACATTCAAGGCCGGCAGCATCCTGTTGATATACTTTACACTCTTTATCCTGAAAAAGATTATGTCGATGCAGCCTTAGTGACAATATTTCAGGTTGTTATGGAATTCATCTCTTATATTTGGTGCTTATGAATTCTTGTACTGCTCAACCATGCAATTAAATGTCCCTTATTACTTGAGATGCTTCTGATTAATTGAAAATAAATCATCATGTATAGTATTTGATGGTTAGCTTGATTTTTCATGTCTGTTGATGTTCATTCATTTGCAGCAATCCGTTGACGGCTGTTCAGGGAACAGAAAGCATAATTTGTTGAGTGTATTTACTATTTTGCATCAAAATCATAACCAGAAGTTATAGCAGAATTAAAGTGAAATATGTTTATGTTATTGGAATTAGGTCGTTTTGCTCTAAAATCTTTGTATGGTTTGTGAGACTCTGACAAATATACTTGATTGTAATCCTCTTACCCCTTTCCTGGTATGCATGTGACTTGATTTCAGATTCATTTGGAAGAGCGCCACGGTGATATACTTGTATTCTTGACTGGGCAAGAAGAGATTGAAGCTGTTGAGAGGCTTGTTCAGGAACGACTGCGTCAACTGCCTGAAAGCAATAGAAAGTTGGTAACAGTTCCCATATTCTCATCTCTTCCATCTGAGCAGCAGATGCGTGTATTTATGCCAGCCCCTGATGGTCACCGTAAGGTATCCTTATGTTGCATTCTGGATCTGCTTGTACTGGTTCACGAACTAATGATTGTGTATGGTACATGCTCAAGAGATAGTGTTTGGTGTCTCTGTTCTAACTGATTCACCGAATTCATAGAACTGAAAGGAATTGTAGATGTACGTACTACCAGATAAGTATAGAAAAGGGAAAAATGGACAAAAGTTGAAGATGGTACCTTAATAATCTGTCAACGTTTTTGGTTCTTTTGTTTTATGGTTAATCACTACTTCACTAGTTATCGAAAACAAAGTAAAAGAGAGGTTGATCAAGCTGCATGGTTTCTGTCACTAATGTTGATTTCTGAGCAGAAGTATCACTTTTAGATATGTTGCCTTTTTTCATGCGTGCAGTCATTAAAGCTATCCAGTTTTTCAATAATACTATATGCATCAACCTGTAACTCCTTAATCGGGGTAAATACCATTCGGGATTTCGGCGCAGACGACACTTTTTTAGTTAGGGATAGTAATCGAGACAATTATTCCATATATTTTGATATTGAGAATCATCCCTCACTGATGTTGATTCTCATATCCAGGTTGTACTAGCAACAAATATAGCAGAAACATCCGTGACAATTCCTGGAATCAAGTTTGTCATTGATCCTGGATTTGTAAAAGCTCGCTCATATGACCCAGCTAAGGGGATGGAGTCCTTGATTATCATTCCAACTTCAAAAGCTCAAGCTCTTCAAAGAAGGTAGGGCTCTTGCTCCCTTGTAGGGGATATAATGAAGGTTCATGTAGAGTCCTGATCAAACTAGTTTCAGTTGCGATAAATGAGTTATCTTTCTTGAAAGAATTTAGCCTTTTGTAATTTAGCTGTTACATTTACAGAGCGAGTCAGCTATAATTGCGCTCCAGTATACTTCCCCTCTTTCTTCTGGCATTTGGCTCTGTTTTTATGATTGAGTAAATTGGTACTTCTACAAAATCGAGACTTCTTGTGTCCTCTTTTTTTTTTTTTTTTTCATGTTCTTTGTTGCGAATTTCATAGTGGGATTAAGTAAATTGCCAATTGTTGATTTAATGCCAAACTCTGGCAACTAAGGGACTAACAAGTGATATACTGTTGTTGCAGTGGTCGTGCTGGGCGTGAAGGGCCAGGGAAATGTTTTCGTCTTTACCCTGAGAGTGAATTTGAGAAACTTGAGGATTCAACAAAGCCAGAAATCAAGCGGTGCAACCTCGCAAATGTCATTTTGCAGCTTAAAGCTCTTGGTGTTGACGATATATTCGGGTTTGACTTCATTGAAAAACCATCTAGGTACATGTTCCTCCCATTTTGGTTATGTTACTCGTTCATAATAGAGCATTTGCTCATGGTTTATACTGATTGACCGCCCCATTGGATTACTTCTCTATGGGTAACATACTTCACTAGGCAAGAGTGACCGTAAATTTACAGGGTATCGAAATTTTGGCTGTAAAACTTATTCCAAACCTGTCAAAATTGAGGCCACCTTCAGAGTTGTTTCTGTTGCTATAAATATAGATGCTGGGAAATGTGCCTTTGTGGTCATTCCTTCTATGGCATTATGCTTGTAATTGCTTGCAACAGTCTGTGTAAGTTGTATAATTTACCATTTATCCTTCTTCCTCCAGAAGGAATTGTGTCATCATTGAGATATGCTTGTAAAGTTTGCCTTTTTACTGTATATATTACCTCTGCCACTTGATGATAACTAATGACGCATTTTAACAGGGCAGCTATTGTTAAATCGCTGGAACACTTGTTTCTTCTGGGCGCTTTGACGGATGACTGCAAATTATCTGATCCAGTTGGACACCAGATGGCTCGCCTTCCTTTAGACCCTATTTATTCTAAAGCTCTTATCCTAGCCAGTCAGTTCAACTGTTTGGAAGAAATGTTGATTACTGTAGCAATGCTGTCCGTGGATTCAGTCTTCTATGCACCCCGTGAAAAGTTAGACGAAGTATGTGTCATTTCGATGCATTTTTTTCTAAGATGCTTTTGCACTCTTGATTTTTTTGCATCAGGCCACTGAATATCTTGAAGGTTGAGTTGTTAATGATAATCCGGGAACATTCTTTGTAGTAGTCTTTTGACCGTTGCGCTCAATGTGGTTTTAAGTTTCTTTTGGATCTGTCAGCTGGTTGATTTTTCTCAACAGCTTTCAAAAATTGTATCTTGTTGACAAATACTGAAAATTAAACTGAGTCACTGTCACATTACCTGGAACAATTTTACATGACTGTTATGATGGGTGCTGGGAGTTATTTTTACTGTGGATTTTGTTTTTCCCATATCCTGCAAATCTCATGGGGCTTTTTGGTTTTGCTTGCTGATTTTATGTATAAAATGGAAAGCAGCTGCTGTGTTTGTTCAACTGTTCTATTTATGTTGGAGTTAAGATTGCCTGTCAAACTTGGCATGGTAGCCTAAAGATTGTGGTTAAACATCATTAATAGCCTGATACAATCGTCCATGTTTGCGTAGCTATTTTCATGTTCGTATTATTACTGGCCACATGAATACCATCTTTGATTCCATGGTTCTCTATCCTCCCCTTCCCCTGCTGTATGTTTTGTTACTGTCTGACAATTTTTATTTACTTTTTATAGTCAAGAACTGCTGCTAAATGCTTTGCAAATCCAGATGGGGACCACATTACTTTGATTAATGTATATCGAGCAGCTGAAGATCTTCTGGAGAAAAGGAAGAGTGTTCCTCATACAGAGAGAAACGAGAAAATTTTTAAAGCAAAAAGTGAGAAGATATTCAAAAGATGGTGCAAGGAAAATTTCATTAATGGTCGTTCTGTGAGGCATGCACGGGATATACATAGGTATATGGTCATGTTGGCAGAAATCCTGTCAATGTAAGGTCCATGATATTTGACCAATTGGCCACCATTACTGATTGTGTGTTCCATGTTTCAGTCAAATTCGTGGACACGTTGAACAAATGGGTCTTCGGATCACTTCTTGCGGAGATGATATGCTCCAATTCCGCAGATGCCTTGCTGCATCATTTTTCATTAATGCAGCTTTGAAGCAGCCGGAGGGAAATTATAGGTATTAAACTTGGATACTTGGTGCCATGATTGAGCATTGTTTAATGTTCTTCCAAACATCAATATTGTTTGATTCATATGGGCTATCATTGCAACCAATCACAATTTTGCATCTGTTGATACTAACAGTGACCTTTAACTGAATGGCAGGGCTTTCGGAACTGGTCAAGTAGTTCAGATTCACCCTTCCTCTGTGCTGTTTCAGTCAAAGGTTGAGTGCGTCGTGTTCAATGAAATGGTTCAAACTACTAACAAGTACATCCGGAATGTAACCAGGATCGAGTATATGTGGTTAACTGAGCTTGCGCCACACTACTACACCATGCAGAGTTGAGATGTGGTAATAATATTTCTTTTTGCCTGATATTAAAATGCATATTGAAATTGTACTGTGCTGTCACATTAACTTTTGACATGCTCCACTTAAGTTCATGCAATAATTCCTTACTAAGAAAGAGGTGAGGACTCAGTTCTTTTCTTTTGTTTGAACTTTGCTTCTCTGCAGCTTTAAAATGGTCGAGGTTGGATTCAGCTTTCTGTTCAACATTCTCATGGGATGTGATGGATGTCAGTTCTGTCAAGAAGTAGACTTTTAATCTTTCATTGAAGCCTTAGTCCGACTAATATGCTTTTGGTCTTGGTGGAAAAAAGATGGTGCATGTGGAGGCAAGATTTATATTTGCTGCTCAATCGATTTGGATTGCATGAGGTGGATTACCAGCAACTATGCCTTCTCTACTAGGCAGGGATTCGTTGAAGTATAAACCAGGAACTAGGCGACAACTTGGATCTTGCTCTATGATATTTTTCCCGATTCCAGCTTAAGAGGATTGCTGCTTGCGGTTTCAAACTTGAGAGACTAATTCAAAGTTGCCAACTTTGAGAAACTCTTGGAATTTCAGCTAAGCCTGCAACTGTCGCGAACCTCTAAACAGGATACCAGCTAGTGCTGATATTTAGAATCCTGATTCCCACCTAATTAGAGCCAGGAAAAAGGACTACCTTGGAATCTTAGCATGAGCTTTTTTGTTTTTAGTGTTAGTATTGTATTACCTTGGAAGTTGGAACCTTGGTTTGTGCTGTTGTTTGATTCTGTTTGGCTGTTTATTATCCTACTTGCTCTCTTAACCTTTGTAAACAAGACACAGCGATAGAGACATCTTATGCTATCTCGCAATATTGAAAAATTGAATGGTACTTTTGCTTGTCAGAAGTGCCGAAGATATGTCAAATATTCCTTCGGGAGAAGGATTGTGAATAAGCATTCAATTTTCTTTTCTGGTATTTTCTCGTGTGTTTATTGTTGTAGTTTTCAGGATATCAAGTCTGCCGAGTTGGTCCAATAAAAGCTGAAGAAATGGAGCATATGGCAGAAGAGTACAATGGTGGAGAAACTTAGAACATCGTGCGGACAGAATATTTTTCAGGTCGGCGTTGCTTGTTTCCACGGCCTAGGAGTCAAGACAAACAAGCAGACCAGTTCAGACTGCCCTAGTGATCGTCAAAGCTGTTTCTCTGTCCTCCAGCTAACTGCTTTTCCAAGAAAGGAAGTGCAAAAGAATATCAGAAAGGACAAGGGAAGGTTGCCTCACCATAGACTAATCTTTCTTTCTTTTCTCATATGCAATGCATGAGCATCCTGTGGTATCTGCAAGTGAATCAAAATGGGAAATGCAATTAGATGCATATCAGGTGATAATGAAGGGAGGAAAAAATTCTCTTTGCCCTCTTTCAAGGGAAAACCTGCTGCCTTCTTGTCTTCTCTATCTTTTCAGAAGAAGAATATGAAGGACAGAGAAGAAAAGAGTTGTGAGACAAACGAAGATGATTCAATAAGAGATATCAGTTTCATGTCATCAGACCGTGCACTTGCTGCAGCTTTTGTCCATAACCATCAGACAAATGGCGGTTACAATTCATTGCAGAGAACAATCTCTGAGACTGTGATGGGGCCACCGAGAAAGCATGGTCCTCATGTACAGAGGAGCTCAAGTTCGAGTCAAGTTTTGCTCATTGATCGTTCCATCCGACCTCAGCAGCTTGTCAATCAGGTCTGTCATTCAGTTCTGTTTTCGTATCTTGAAGTTGGGGTATGTGATGGTCCAGTTCGGTCAAGAGTCGGGCATAATTTGGCATGGTAGATGAAGGGAAAATGATACTGAGAATTGATACGAAAGTGCATTTGGTGGTCCAATCCTGTTTCGGTCCTCTTTTCTTTTACTGAAGAAAATTTATGGAATTGAAACCAAATTGAACTGTTATTGGTTCTATTGGGTGCAAACAGAACTGTTGCAAACCCCTACATTTTTATGTACTTGGTCTGTTCCAACAAAATCTTCAATTGAAGAATTGTTGTTCTGGTTCAGCAGGGTATAAAGGTCGATGAGCTTGAGGCTAGCCATTTTGTTCTTGTCCATGGAGGTGGGTTTGGAGCCTGGTGTTGGTACAAAACTGTAGCACTCCTGGAAGAAGCCGGATTCACCGTTGACGCAGTGAACTTAACGGGTTCTGGACCCAGCTTATCTGATTCAAACAACATCTACAGTCTAGCTCAATATGTGAAGCCACTTACTGATGTTATCGACAAACTTGGCCAAGAAAATAAGGTCTTGTGATAGCTTGACATCAATCTCATATATTTTTTTTTATCTCCAGAAACTATTTATGTGATTAGCCAGCTATTTTTTTTTTGTGATCTTCAAAATTCGCAGGTTATTTTGGTTGGCCATGATCTTGGTGGTGCTTGTATCTCATATGCTATGGAACAATATCCATTAAAGATTTCGAAAGCTGTTTTTGTAGCTGCAACAATGCCATTCAATGGTCAGAGTGCCCTTGATTTGCTGTCCCAGACACAACAGGTTCGTTATAGAGTGCGACCTAATTCCTAAGAATTCAAGAGTACCCTGCCGTGAAAACATTGTTCTGACTAAATTGCTTGATATCATATTTTTGCAGACAGATTCTGAGAATCTCATGCAGAAAGCTTACATATTTCTCTATGCCGACGGTAAGGAAAACCCTGCAACTTCCATTGATCTTGACAAAGATATCTCCAGAGAGCTGTTTTTCAACCGGAGTTCCACGAGAGTAAGATTCAAAAACCCTCCTCCAGTCCTTCAATACAAAATCAGCATCACTAAATCTGTGGATTTTGATGCATGTATTTGAAACAAGTGAATTGTAGATTGTTCGGGATGCAAATTTCGATTTCTTGTTACAATGTAGGGGGTGCTAAAACTGAAAACCCTCTGGTCGACAAAACGACTAACAACTTGTGGGTCTTGCAGGATAAAGCACTGGCAGCAGTATCAATGAGATCAATCCCATTCGGACCAGCTGTGGAGAAACTGACCCTCTCTGAAGAAAACTACGGGTCCATCACAAGGCTGTACATCAAAACGTTGGAAGACCATGCAATTCCTGCTTCTCAACAGGAAGCCATGGTCCAATCAAACCCTCCACAACAGGTTTTCCAGATCAAGGGTTCTGATCATGCCCCATTCTTCTCCAAGCCACAGGCTCTGCACAGGATACTGGTTCAGATTTCACAGATTCGTTGATCTGGTGGAATGGGCGCTTTCTTTTTTGGTGAGGTGCATAGGGAAATGGTGTACTAGTGAATGAATGCTGTCGTCAACTTTGACATGTCTGGTTATTTTTGGTTGCACCTTTGACTAGGCCGGCAGCAAGAAAGGGAAGATCATGTTGTGTCTCGGCTAGTTTCGTGATTCCCGTGGCTGTAGGATAACTTGACATCTCTAAAGCAAATAGTGGTCATGGGCACCTTAACCAAAATTTACGACCAATTATTTGATTGTAAGGTTTGTTTAATTCTCATGGACTTATGTGGATGCTCATGTTGATGTATCTAAAATGAGTGAACTATTTGGTTGGTGTTATGTATATAAGTTTTATAGTGAAACTATGAGTCATTAATCAAAATGGCCAAATAAGGTTTACTCTCTAAAAAAACTGTTACCAATTACCATTTAAAACATAACAAAATGGTCATATATATGTTATATGTATCATGGTATAAAATTAACAAAAATTCTCACACATCTAATCAATTCTTAAACTTACCTCTTATTCAAAGCAAGGTAACTAAGCATTTTGGATGGAAATATGCATATTATTGTTCTGTTATAACGTGATATGTATATGATATTTTTGTTATATTTTAAACATTTTTGTGCCCATTAAACCTATATAACTATTTTAATAAATTATTAATCTTTGTGGCCCAATTTTTATTGTCCTTTTGAGGAGGTGCATGCATTTAAGTTTTGGCTATTGGACTTTTTGGCCTTGGAATCTTTTAAATAAGATTGTGTTGTTAGAACCGAAAGGGAGTGATTAACAACCAAAGCATCCACATCAACCCATGAATTCAAGATCAAATGGCACAAAGAATTCACCCAAGTGAAATAATATATACATAAATTAAAGACTTAAAATTTGATTGGTTGATTGGAATATATACAGCTAATGATTAGACTACATGCACTCACCACATTTGTCATTGTTTCATTAGCTGCTGATCACATTCTGATGCTAACTGTTGTTCCAGTGTAAAAACAGTTTCATGGTGCCTACTTTGGAGATTCATATCTTACAATTGGCTAGATGGAAATTGGAGATTAAAGGCTTGTTTCGAAGCTGAAGTTTCCCTCTACACATTAAAGTACTTGGGAGCTCAATAGAAAGTCCAGAAGACCATTTTTGAACCTGACCAAAAGCTATGCCAAAACTGGGAAACTGCATGAAAATGGCTAAGTCTGGCAACGTGTTTGTCAAGCCTACTTTGGAGCTCAATTTGAGTATCATGGATGCGAGTCAAGTCCAGGGGCCTCTACCACGTTAAATTACGTATTTTATTATACAAAGACAAGGCATTGGATGAAAGGTTGAATATTTTTAAGGCTTCAAACAAAAGGCTCGAAGTTGCTACGAAGGCTGTTTTTCTAGCAGCTTGCTTGTGCTCGAAGTTTGCCAGAAAAACAACCTTCGTAACAACTTCGACCCTTTTGTTTGAAGCCTTGCAGATATCCAATCTTTCATCCAATGCCTTGAATTTGTATAAAAAACATACATAATTTAACGTGGTAGAGGCTCCTGGACTTGACTCGCATTCATGCTTCTCGAATTGAGCTCCAAAATAGGCTTCACAAACACGTTTCTAGACTTAGCCATTTCCAAGCAGTTTCCCAGTTTTGGCATAGCCTTTTGATGAGGTTCAAAAATGGTATTCTGGACTTCCTATCGAGCTCTCTTCCACTTCAATATGTAGAGGGACACTCCAGCTTCAAAACAAGTCATTAGTCTCCAATTTCCATCTAGCCAATTGTATGATATGAATATCCAAAGTAGGCACCATGAACTGTTTTTACACTGAAACAACATATGAGGTTGACCGAATCCTAAATGAGGTCGACCAGATCCTATATGAGGTCGACCGAATTCTAAATGAGGTCGACCTAATCCTAACTGAGCTCGACCGGAAAGTGCAAGTCACCGTGACATGCATGTCACCGTAGGCACACCCATTTTGACATATGGCAAGGTGTCATTAGTTGATTTTTTTTAAAGACAAGGTAGGTTTTTATTATGTATCGATTTGAATACTGCTTAGGAAACGAGATTATTATAAGAATCGGTAGAAGCATATGCTGATATCGTAGGATCCGAAATTTTTGTAACGTAGGTTTTTATTAAATGTCGATTTGAATACTGATTGGACGACAAAATTACATGAATCAATGTAAGCGTACGCTGATTTCGTCGTGTGCACAATCTCAATCACTAAATGGACGGAGTGCCAACTTTGCAAATTAAATGTATACTAAACCACCATAGTAAGAATAACAATCCAACCAACAACAAAGTATGGTGTGTTCTAAACAAATGTTAGTGGGGGAAACAAGTGGGCAAGTGAAAAGCCATTAGAAATAAACAAAGAGGCAAAAGAATAGTATTTGGAAGATCTGTATAAGTGGTGTCGACAGATTTTGTGAGTTAAGGTTTGGTCAGGACTCAAGAAGCATGTGGGCGCTGCCACCAGTAACACTCCAATCCAACAAAGGTCACCTGTCCCCATCCCACCTGCACCCTTTAACCAGAGGCTAATTTTATAGCAATGTTTTATACACACTACAACAAATTTGATCTATTAGATCAAAAAAATTTCTTTTTCATTTTTTCTTTGTCACAATAGGTACAGTTATATGACAAAAATAATATATGGCTTATTTGGTATGCCTAATGTGACAAAATAAATTTTGTCAGAATTAGCCATCAATTAAAGTGAGTGATGTGACAAATATTTCGTGTCACAATTAATTTTGTCAAACTAGGCATTCCATATCGGTATGTAGGAGACACAAAAGTGACAAATATTTTGTGTCACAATTAATTTTGTCAAAATAGGCATTCCATATCGGTATGTAAGAGACACAAAAGTGACAAATTATATCATAAGAGTAGCTTTTGTCATATTATTCCTTCCTAAATTGTTTAAATGACAAAGTATTTTATCACAATAGATAGCAATAATTTCACGGCGAGCTGGCAAAATGACATGTTCGTCATAATATAGTTGGTTTCGGCTTTGACAAAAGGCATGTTCGTCATAATATAACATATTGTTTTCGCTTTTTATAAAAGACATTTTCGTCAGATTTGCTTGTCTATACTAAAACCTCGTGTTAGACTGAAACTTCTTTTCCCTCGAAAAATAAATAAAAAAATAATATTAAATAGAAAATTGAAACTTCTTTTCTCAAAACAATGGGACGGGTGTTCAAGCTAGCGACCTCATTTTGTGTATTTTTTGTTTTGGAGGATGCTCTAAACGAAACCCTTCCAACTCTTCTCCTCCCTTCGTAACCCTAGTTGCGCCTCACCAACAAAGCCAACAGCAGGGGCGCTGCTCTTCCCTCCCGACTCCTTTCGTCAACGGACGACGCGTCTTCTCCTCTCGGTTGCGGCATCTTCAGCAGGCGGATCGAGTTCTTCTCTCGGCATCGCGAATCTGTGATGTCCTGGGCCGGATTAGTCTTGGCGAGTGGAAGAAGAGAGTAAAGTAGGAGAGAGAGAGAGAGAGAGAGAGTGAGAGAGAGAGAGAGAAGTGAGAGAGGGAAAAGTTGTTGTATTGACCAAGTTAGCCGTTAGGCCGTTACAGAGCGGGATTATATACCTGTTGGTCAAATATCCAAAACAGTCACTAGACTTCTGCTATTTACAATTAAGTCTGTCTGTTACAACTCCCCCATTCTTCAGAAACAACTTGTCCTCAAGTTGGCAATGCCGGAAACTTCTGCTTGAACTCGTCCAAAAATTCCCAGGTGGCATCCTCCTCTGACTGATGTGTCCATTGGACTAAAATTTGTGTGGCTGCCATGTTTTGTCGAGACACAAACCTTCGTGCATGAATGGCTGCAGGCTCCACCTTTAATCCTCCATTTGCATCAATCTCTGGCAATGTTGGTTGTGTGGTCACCGAGTTACCCCTCGCCCTCTTAAGAAGGGAGACATGAAACACTGGATGTAGGGCAGATCCCTGAGGAAGCTTCAATCTGTAGGCTACATTTCCCACCTTCTTCTCGATCTCAAATGGACCATAGAATTTAGGAGAAAGCTTCTGATTCAACCTTGTCGACACCGTCGATTGCCTATATGGTCTGAGCTTAAGGTAGACCAACTCACCTTCTTGAAACGATCTCTCAGTCCTGTGCGCATCGGCCATCTGCTTTTGTCTATTCTGAGCTTTGGCTAGGTTGTCTCGGAGAATACCAATCAATCGTTGTTGTTGTTGAAGCCTCTCTACAACAGCAGCCACTGAAGTCGACAGAGGATTAGCAATAGACAGCTATGCAGGGCAGTAGCCATAAAGAGCCTAAAATGGAGCCGCTTGCAAACTGCTGTGGTAGTTGGTATTATACCACCATTCAGCCAGGGTAATCCAGGTAGCCCATTGCTGTGGATTGTGATGCACCATACCCCTCAAATAATCCTCCAGACACCTATTAACCCTTTCTGTTTGACCATCTGTTTGTGGATGGTAAGCAGTCGAGAAATGCAACTTCACTCCTTGCAACCTAAAGAGTGTAGACCAGAATGTACTCGTGAATAAGGAATCCCTGTCCGAGACTATTGTCTGGGGAAGACCATGGAGCTTGAAGACCCCATCAAAGAACACCTGAGCTACTGATCCCGCTGTATATGGTTTAGACAGGCAAAAAAATGGTTGTACTTGGAGAACCTATCGACTACCACGAACACTGCCTCCTTCCCATGAGACTTTGGCAACCCTTCTATGAAGTCCATGGAAATGTGCTTCCAGGCCTTATCTGGAACTGGGAGAGGTTGTAACAACCCTGGATATGGCACATTCTCCACCTTGCATCTCTGACATATATCACATTCCTGTACAAACTTTTTTAAATCACTCTTGATACCAGGCCACCAAAAATAGCGTTTGAGCCTTTGATAATTGGCCTGCAAGCCCGAATGTCCCCCAATTGGAGATTCATGGAACAAGTGCATCAACTGCTGCCTCGTATTCCCTGTTGACCCTACCAACAGAGCTGCTTTATGGTATAAAAGACCCATGTGAACAGAGTAAATCTTAGGTCCAATCATTGGTACTGCTGCAGACATCAACAATTCCTGAACCACTGGATCCCCTTCATAAGTGGTCTCGATCTCA